AGAAAAAAAGAATAGAAAAGACCATCTTTATGTTTGTTTAATTTTAAAAAGTGAAAAGCCTGATAAAGAAAATAGGCATGGTGAGAAGAAAGAAGATGCAGAGAATTTCCATCTTCTCTTATACTGAAACTCAGCAACATCTATGAAGCTGAATGATGAGAGATTGTAGATGATGCTAATGTCAGGGTTCCAAGTAACAGCCTCAATGAAAGAAGAATCTGAGCTAGAAGTTCCTCAAAGTTCCACTTTATTAGAGATGTCATATTGTCACATCTGGGGAAACCCGAATCTGAAAGCTTCCAGGTTTTCACCACCCAAAGGGAAGTCAAAGCCCCTTCCCCTGGACTCACATGTCCATCACATGATCCAATCACTCCACCGTCCCAACTGGAGATGCCTCCCAGTCACGCCACCCCAGATGCAGGTTGAAATGTCCTTGACTCCCAGAGAAAAGAATGTTGTTATATCTCTACCACTCCATGCAATCCTCCCTCCCAGTTTCCCACAGCTCTAAATGTGGCAGCCCGGAAGATCCAAAGTAAAGATGGCCTCAAGGGCTGAAAGCTAAATTAAATTCTGGATTTTGGTGCTACTACTAGTTTGAGGCATTAAAGAATGTTTTTCCACATTTGTTGAAAATGAAGCTACTAATGCCTACTAATTGCAGTAGTTACATGCTACTTCACATGAAATCACCATAGCTATAGAGGAGTTATACTCCTTATGGCATTTGTGCTGACATTATTGTAATGACTGTGGACTTTGAAAACTTAGTAAAATGTTGAAAGGACTCTACCTATGTTGCCAATAATTATTCTAGTAATAAGCCTAATATAACATAAACAACACTATTGGCCCTATTTGACACTAAGATTGTTTTTTAGCCCAAGATTCAATATGTACAGGGAGTAAGAGCTAATAAATATATGTATTGTTTATTTTTTCCCTGAAGAATGGAACAGAATGAATGCGAATGTCCTTGCGAGTGTCCTTTAGAAGTCAATGAATGTACAGGCAACCTTACCAATGCAGAAAACAGGTATGCATAGCTCACAACTTATTAATAATGTTATTATAATATTGTTCAATGTGTTAAATGGGCCATTGTATTGTTTTAAGGGTAATTATTCAGATGATAATGTAACATAACAATTGAGTGAGTTTTTGAAATCTAGTTTTTGCGTACTGCTTTCCAAATTTTAGAAATCCTAGTTGTGAAGTCCATCAGGAACCTCTGACTTTTATTGCTGTGGATTCCAGCCTACAGGATGCTCTTCCTCAGTGTATCAATACACAGTGTAATCAAAGAATGGAGAGTGGGTAAGTTACACCTTTTTTCCCTTAAAGAAATCAGTAAAGTTTTTTTTAAACTGCTTGAAGAATTAAAATAAAAATTATTATAAAATCAGTTAAATTTACTTTTATCTTTATTTATCCTAATAACATATAGCTCCTCTTCTTTGCAGATTCAGATTCTACCCTTTGAAAGTTACAAAACCTTTAAAATGATAGCATAATGTTGAAGAAATTAAATTTGAGCAGCTTGCCTGAATCTAGAACCTGAAAAAGTGCTAAATAGTCATTGCTTTGGGGATTCTTAGGCGGGTGTTATGGAAATGGCTGCTTGAGGTCTCATATTTAAATCAGGATAGCACTGGTATAATAACAGGAACATAAATTGTCTTGTTCCACTTTGAAGAAAAGGACAGTAAGGAGGATGGAGGAAAATTAATGTCATTTCTGATTAAACAAGTAAAATATCAGGTTCACATATAGCACTAAAGAATCATTATTTTGTTTATAGAACAGCTTAGCTGGTAAAAAGACAGATTTGTTTTCTCATTGGAAGTGTACATTTGCACTTCCTCAAAGAGATAGCAAGGTGAGATAGTTTAACTAACCTATCTGTTGGTCTAGCTATAAAAGACTGACTTCACAAATATGTTTGCTTCGAGTCACTTAATCTTGTAACAAGTAAATTTTCACAGCCATTTCCTTGTCTTGCAGAGATTGTTTTGGTGTCTTAGACTGTGAGTGGTGCATGGTGGACAGTGATGGAAAGACTCACCTTGATAAATCCTATTGTGCTCTTCAGAAGGAATGCTTTGGGGGTATTGTGGGTGCCAAAAGCCCCTATACGGATGACATGGGCTCCATTGGTAAGATTCATTTGCATTTTTAATGTCTGGATGATCTACATTTAAAAAAAAACCCAATTATAGGTTTTGTGAGAATCACGGAGGGTGAAATTACATGATTCTTTTTATCATAACAGAAATTTGGCTGTGGAAGCAGAATGTATACAGAATCCTGTATAACAGATGCTTTCTAGTCCATGCAGTCTGTAAGGTGAAATGCCATTGTGGTGTATCGATTAGGATAGGGATTTAGTCTATTCATTACAATTTGTAATATATTCTTACATAGACCAATGAAATGGTCACATGGATTGTTTTGAAAACTGGCATGATTTCCTCTCTGGAGTGTCTTTGTC